AGCGTATGCTTAAGCTTTGTTGAATCCAGACTATTACATACACTGCAGATATAATTATCTTCCCAGGCATAAATGCTTTGGAAGTGGTACCAACTTCACTTTGTGAGAACGGGAATAAATGGGCCTCATCCAGTTCATTGCTATCATTATGAAAATGCCACTGGATTTGCAGGGTAGCAGTGGTGTGGAATAGACATTTTTATAATATCTATGCTTGTTTTACACCTACAATTTATGATGGAGAGTTTTGATGCCATTGCTTTCTGCCTGCGAAGAAAAGCCTCAGACCAAATAGATGGAAATGATCACAGTTGCATTTCATCCAGGCTTTTCTTTCTTTTATTTGCTCAGATCTTTTTCTTTGCATAAATTTTTCTCAAATATTTCCCAACAAGGTAGTAGATTTCAAACAAAGATACTCATACAGAGTAACTGTTACCTGCTTTCCTTTTCTTCACAAAATTCCATCAGGAAAATTGTTTGTTGCCCTCCTCAAAAGATGATCATATATAAAGTAGTGAGCATATGTGTGGCATGATTTCATGATGTAAGAGGTTTCGTTCGTGTGTTCTTATTCCAGAAAGAAATGTATTTGTTGAGTTCATGATCTGTATAAATCAAAGTGCAAAACAGCACTGAGGTTTCCTATAATGATAGTAAGAATAGCAGTGAAATACAGCAGAACACATACTCCTTGGGAGCAGAACAGGAAAAATCTAGTTTGATGCAGGACTTTGTCATGTGGATTTTTTCAAGTCTAACAACGTGACAGAACCCATATTACAACATTTCCCTTCAGCAAAAGGGACTAAAGGGACCTCTTTATCTAAATAGTTATGTTCACAATATTCTTAATGACAGAATATCTTGGAAAGCTTTACCATTCTGTCTCATTTGGTTTTAATTGACCAACGTGATATGAATTTCTGAGAATACACAGCCTATAAAACCAAGATTACAAATCTGTAAAATCAAGCTAACTTTCTTCTAAGGATTTAAGTATTTAAGACAATGCATAGAATATGACAACAGTAGTCTCCTCTGAAATATTTGTGGTAAAAGACAAACAACAGTACAGAAAGCACCATTTTTATGCAGCTACTGAGTGCAAATAAAATGGTGTCAGTTAATTAACATGTGGTGCATCCCACACAACAGCATATCCACTTGAAATGTCACTTATTTAAGCTTTTCCAATCTGTGTCATTCCCAACACAATTTTTATTTTCCTGAACCATTCTTGGACATGAATGCTTCATCTGAATTAGGAAGTAACAGGTGCACACACACACTCATACATGTGTATACATACCTATAAAAATTATGATAGGAAATCAATTGTTCTTTCCTGTCGGGTAGCAGAGGGTCACACTTTGTGACTGTCCATTCTGGTACTAAAGATTAAAATACACCTCAGCAAATTTGCCAGACTAGATACTTTCCAGCATTGTTTTTGCTTTAGGGAATAATGTGGATTAGGGAAGAACTACAGAGGCAGGTTCAGGTTCTCTTCTGTCTCCCACCTACTCTGGATTGCCTAGGAGTATGTCACTTGTAATGAAGCAAAAAACACATTTGTATGGTTTTATGGGCATGTTTTACATAACTTTACCAGTTTACATAAAAAAAACAAAAAAAAGCCATTTGTTTAAAGCATCAGAGCAAATAAAGATGGTAAAATGTCAAACTAAATCAAATCTCAATTCCATGCATGGTAGAAAAATACTACATAACCAGCAAAGCTTCCCTGAATAAAAATATGCTGTACAGTCTCATATACATATAAAAATGGTTAAATATAAAAATAATGACAAATGCCATGGCAAATGTTTAATGTGTTTACTGTTGGCAATATCCTTACATGTGTCATACTAACTACTTGAAAGTACAAAAAAAAGTAAAGAATAAGACATTGATATCAAGCAATGATAACTTGTGGCAAACAGGAAAGATCTAGGTCTGAAATTTCCTTCTCATGTAATGGAAGTTTTCAGTTCATTCCATTCAAATGTCAGGACATGAATAACCTGAAATCTCATGTCAGATTTCCCAGGAATGCTTGATGTCAAATTCTATGTTATTAATTTTTATAAATTTTCTCATGGAAAAGGTTTTATTTCATATGCTGGAAATAAGACCATTATGAAAGAAGCTCTACAGGCCTTCCCTAATGTTTTCAGTTTATGGAAAAAAATTTGAAATAAAGCTAAATAAATGGATTATTTTATACTTCGCAAAAATGCTTGCTGAGTGTTGCTAGGATCATTCTATTCCCTGATCGCCTGAGAACTGAGACATCTTAGAATGAGAGAAAAATAATTGCCTCAGAACCACTAAAGACAGAATTACATTCCCTTCACTTTACAGGAAGCTGTCCTGAACAACATTAAAACAGAAAGCCCCACAATACCAGTGAAAATTGTAATTTACAGAAGGAGTCCTAAAATATCTGCATGCACGTGGAGAGTCTGAAGAGCACTCAGGCTACACAAAACCAAAGCTGCAGATATGACTAAGAACATTGAGGTGGCCAAACCATTGAGTCCCAAACTTTTGTCATCTCAGTTTTTGCTGTCTTTTTTCCTCCTTGACCTGCCCTAAAATTGTAACTCAGGGCAGGATTCCATCAAGAAAGTACATTTATTCAGGCAGTAAATGTCAACTTGCTCTCTATTTCCTTCACTTTTTCATATTGCTGGGAAAACCACGACCGTGACTTTTTTTCTGATGACACAAACCTTCTCCATGATCATTTCCACTAAAATTTCATTTCCCATATAAAATGTGTCTTTAAAGAGCCTACAATATTTTTAATATTTATTATGTAATCAATATACTAAAATGTGCTTTGTATAACTGTATTAAGACTAAGTCTGTTATTTCAGTCAATTAATCTTGATGCTTTGAAAGGTACATTTTGGCTCAAAGATATTGTTTTGTAATTTGTAATGTAACTCCAAAAATGGTTTGGGGGGAAAAAAGAAAAACTTTTTAAAGTTCTTTTTTAAAGAACTTGGCTCAAAGCTTTGTTTTAGAAACTACATTTTTCTTTGAAATATATACAAGAAGACTCTTCAGAGAGATTTAAAAACTCAGACAAAAAGGAGTATTTTATTTCAGATAGAATGGAAATGTGTTGTTCAATATAAGCTTTTTTGGGGTGAGAATATGGAGTAATGATGTATTTTGCTCAAAACTTAACAGTTGTGGGGGTTTTCATATTTAAGGTCAGTCTATACTTTCAAATATTAATTATTTTCATAGCTCTGCATGAAGTATATGTCTTATTTGTCCACTGTGCTGTCAGTCTTAGCATTGATTACAATTTAATATTTAATGGAAATATTATTCATATTAATGTTGTTGATAAACATTTAATTTTATGTTGGCAGTTCTTGTTTCCTTTTTCTTATTCAATTCAATGATAGGTCACATCTATGAATAAGGTTGCTTTTAGTGAGGGTACAAAATTCAAAATCACTTTGAACACTTTGAATTGACTTCATATCTTGATTCTAGAGTGGAAACTATTTAAACGTTAATGTGGCTCAACTCTATACCACATCTTTAATACAAATATAACCTATAATAAGCCTGGGGAAAATACAGTCATCAGATACTGGTGAGCGATGAGCTTGTATTTAAAAGTATTCACCTTGAGTCCTGTGTGCAGTTCTGAGCACCACCATATAAGGATGATATTAAGTTATTAAGGAGCATCCAGAGGAAGACTGTGAAGGTACTTAAGTGTCTAGTGGAGGTCATATGAGGAGTGGATGAAATTACTTGGTTTGCTCAGCCTGGAGGAGACTGCTGGTAGACTACTGCGGTCAGCAACACCCCCATGAGGGGAAACAGAGCAGCAGGCGTTGATCTCTTTGTGGTGACAATGACAGGACCTGGGGGAATGAAGCTGTGTCAGCAGAGGTTTAGGTTGGATATTGGGAAGAGGTTCTTCACCCAGAGGTAGTTGGGCACGGCAACAGGCTCCTCAGGGAGGTGGTCACGGCACCAAGTCTGACAGAGTTCAAGAAGCACGTGGACAATGCTCTCAGGCATATGGTGTGACTCTTGCAGTTATTCTGTAGAGAGCCAGGAGTGGGACCCAATGATCCTTGTGAACCATAGACTATCCTGAGTTAGAACTCAATAATATCCCTTCCAGCTCAGGATATTTATGATTTGATGATTCTATGATATATCTTGTGATCATTCAGCTCAGATGCTCTTGAATTTAGGAAATGTTCCTGTGTGGATCCAACCTTGCACAGCACAGCCTTTCCATATGCGGTTTAAAAGCATCTGCAGACAGAAAAATCTTAACTATTTCTTTAGGGTTTTTTTTTTTTGCTACTGTGAAATCATCACTGGCTGGTGGATGTTGTTCAGCCTCTATCTCTGGCAGGCTGCCCTGCTCCTTCTGTGAGTGGGTGTTAAAGCACATTCTTGCATCATGGAAAGAGGTATTACAGAAACTACTATTAAAAAGTAGGTGTCCTGATAGTTGGGTTGCAGACCTCCATTTAAACCACCCTGAAGCAAAACTGCAGATGTTTTAACTTACACTGTTTCTATGGTTTCCTTTTAGCACCTTATTATAAAAGATGAATCCTTTGCTCTCCTTATTAACAGTTAATCTGACCCTGATTATCCAGTGTGAAAACCACTGAAGAGACTGATTGTAAACATAAAGGCTTTATTTTGGCATACTGGACAGCAGAGAATGACTCACTGAACTGAGAATCCATAGGAATGTGTCACATCCAATGGCCAATAATAACATGAAAAATTATTGTTCAAGGCAATCAAACAAAGCATTACAGGAAGAGAAATGTACACTTTACTATTTTTTTTTCTTTTTCAGAATCACATAAAAAAGAAAAAATAATGGAATCTGGTGAATATTCTCTCATTTTTATCTTGTTTTTAAACTATCCTAATATTTTAAATTCATTCTTGTCAGAAGTCAATATTTGATACATTTAAATTTTTTTTTACAGGCAAAACAACAAAGAAAGAAGCAAAAGTACATGGTAAGTCCTGTGATAACTAAGTTTTAGAGTCTCATTTATCTGGTTTGATTTTCAGTTGAGACAGGATTAGGTAAAGGGATAAAAAAATAAAGCCATGAATATAATTTTGCTGGTTTAATTAAAGTTACTTAAGGAATTGAATGGATTTGGAGCCACCATTCAGTCCTCTGGAACTGAGATCTAATTAAACTGAGAAGAGGAAGAGGGCAAGAATTATTTATTTCAGCTCCTAAAAGGTCTGTCTTTTCAAAGTTGCAGTAAATGGATGGAGAAACAAACACAAAATACAAGACTCAGAATGTGGAGGGTAGGAAAAAAATGTAGGCTGTTTAATTTTAATTTTTTTTATGCCAAGAACCCATGCATTTTATTGTTGCAGCAAGGTGCTCTTGTTTCCAAGTGGAATCCACTTCCCCAGTTTATCCAAATTGGGAGAACATAAAGATTTTCTTCTTTCACAGCCAAGCTTGATGACTCATTCATCAGATGACTCTGTTTTCTCACATAAAAATTCAGAGCAAGAAATACCTACAGTAGACAGTCAATTTGTAGAAAAATTAATCTGTCCTTTTCTATAACATAAAAACCTGTTACAGTACTTCAGAATGAAGGTATGAATAATTAAAAAAAGAGAAATGTGGTACTTCAATCAATTTTCATTTAGTTAATGCAATTATGAAGAATTAAACCATTAATAAAAGTAAATAAATTAAACAGAGAAAACATATAAAGGAAGACTTTTAGAACTGGATCCTCTGTACCAATTTTAGAAGTTTCAATAAACTAAAAAAAAAAAAAAAATTCAAAAAATAGAGAAAAAATTCCTAGCTTCTACAAATCACTAAAATTGTTAAAAGAACAATTCCATTGCATACCTTCCACCTAATACAAGTCCATTCTGGAGCCTATCTTACTCCTTGTCTCATACTTTAAAATAGCAGAGCCATTGAAGCTCCATATATAACTTATCTACTGGCCTTGTTTTCCACTGCTTTTAATCTGCAGGTTAATTAGTCATCTGCCATGAGATTATCTAAACAAGTAACATATGTGCATGTCAGTTTTTCTTTCCACAATAAATGAACTTCTGCTCTGCATAGATAGGTAACATATTGACGAAGGGAAGTGATTTTAGGATCAATTTTAATTTCTTTATTCATTTATGAAATTTGTTTCTATGAATGTTTTCTTTTATTTAACAGCATCTGTGGAAACTCCAAAGTCAAAAGGTGAGTAATTTGATTTGTTTTGAAAATTGAAATGGAAGAATGCTGCTGTTAACTTTACTGTAATGAAAAAAAAAAAGCTTCTTCTGAAAAAAACTTTTAACAGTGTGACTTATTTTAAACAATCGGCCTTTTAAATTATAATGGTGTCTTCCTTGCTACATCTCAAAGAAGGCATCTTTTCCTCAAATTTTTCATAGACAAACTGTAATTCTCCAACAATATGAAATTCAGTTTCTAACCCTAACTCAAGCCATAGGGTTTTTGTGATAGAGAAGTAACCGATCTTCAACAGAGATAGGACAAAAAGCAGTATTTCTCTTTTTGCCAGTGTAATTGCAGGACAAGCCCAGTGACTGAACAGTTGTTTTCTCTGAGGAGTCTAGGCAGTTTCACAGGCAGGTTCAGTGTAATAGCTTTTGCCTACCATTCGTACGTGAACTGTCAATGGCACAAGGTAGGAGGTGTGAGAGCATCAGTGCTTGCTCCAAAATTTGCTCCTTTCCACAAGGCACAGGGAACTGGGACTGGTGAGAAGCATCAAGGATGTAAATTCAAGCTGAATTTACCTTTCAAATATAGCAAATATTAAAATGTTTCACATCAGTGTCTGGTTTTTACATACGTACAATGTAAGTTACTAGCTCCAAATTGCCTTCAAGAACATTACAGCTTTCAGTTGTAACTTAAACAAAAATGGAAAATGGAATGTCAGGTTACAAACTGCCCTTCACTTTTAGTCCATGTTTATTCATGTCAATGACCACCATACTTCTATATGCATTCCCTTTCAGACAAATGGGGGGAAAAAAGAGTTTTAAGAGGTTTAGTTAATTAAGGACAAGTAGAAACATTGTGTTTCCATTATATAATATAGGAATAATTCTGTTATTTCTGTTGTCAAAAGAGCAGTCTCACAACTGAAAGTGTTGGCTTCAGCCATCTTAGTTTTAATATAGTATCAACCTAATATTGAACCTGAAATTGTTCCCCAGTGTCTAAGTAATGACAACGTTGTTTTTTTCTTCATTAAATAAAAATGAGTTGATTTTAGCTCTGGGGTAATTGTTGATTTCTTAAAAAATTCTCGTTAGCAAGTCATATAAATTTAACTTAATGTTGCTAATTTTGAAACTCAAACATAGCCTGTACTCCAGGGGAAAAATCATATTGATATTAAAATGTTACAGCTGTTCCTTTTGCCACTTAGTAAGAATCACAAAGGAATGCTGTTATTTTCTTCTATATTCTTTTGTGATGCGGACAAATTCTAGTAGAAGTTTAATAGTAGTTATTTAGTAGAGTTTAACCTTTCTCTAAGTCTGAAGAAAATCATTGCTTTTCAATCCATATTTTTTTGTTCTACATTGTTTCTATTTATTTGTTTGTTTCTCATTTTTTTGCTGTTAGTTCTTAGAGACTTAGCAGCTCTGGGCACAATATGATTTTCCATGTTCAGTAGGTGTTGGCAAATGTAAAAATTTTTTAAGCATATTCGTGGAAGGCAAACAATTCTGTTCTGAAAAAAAAAAAAAGGCTTTTTATGAAATTTTCTGATTTTTTAATTAAAAAAAAATAATCTTCTGGCATAGAATGAGGTCTGGGGCATTCCCACGAGCCTGTATTTCTTATGAGCTATCAAACTCATATGGAGCTTTCTTGCATTTTCTCTCAAGCAAGCTGAAATGTTTTCATTTCTCCGTATAACAGAATGGTTCCTAAACCATAACATACACTTCTTAGGTTAATGGTTTATTGATGTTTCTGGTGTCACAATGAGGAGCCCCTGACCTCAGGTTTCAGTGAGTGAAATGTTTTTTGTTTCCAGTGAGAATGATTTCTTTCAGTCTTCCATCACACTGAGCAAATATCTCAAAATAGCTTTAAAATCAGTGACATTTTAGAATGTATATTTTTGATGTGGATGTTAGTTATGCAACCTGACTCTTTTGGGATAAAAATATTCTAACAAATTTGATTGTAGCCTACAACTATTGAGACTGCAGAAATATTTGACTGATGAATTGCTCTCCTGGCCACTTTCAGCATAAAACAATATCTGCTGAATTGTCTCATTTGTTTCCTAAGAGCTTATGATGGAATCAGAGAAACAATTATAAAGTAAATTGCCCATTTGATCTACATTATGCCAAGTTGTCAAGAATTTTGCTGAGAAATGGCAAAATATATGTGGGAGTATTGCTCCATTTGTTTAATCTATTTTCTGAAAGTATATTTTACTGAAAATATGAATCCCTGACAAATTTCTGATTTTGTCTTCATGTACATTTATTTTATTTTGTATTGTTTCATGCAAGGGTTTTTGTGGGCTTGGTTTGGGATGGGGGGTTGTATTTCTTCTTTTTTTTTTTAGTGCCTGCCATTCTACAGAGGAGAAAAATGTAATACATTAGAACATTCACGTTACTTAAGCCTTATGGCTAAAAGATCAGCTTTTCAAATAGGAAATACCTGGACCAGGATCATTTTTCACAAAGAAATCATCTTTCAGGCTGCCATTCAGAAGTGGCAAGGACTTAGAAAATGCCCGGTAGAAGGGATGACATCTTGACCTGCTCAGAAAATTTGTCTCTGTTCTGATAGAAACAGAAAGAACCAACCCTTCTGAATCTTATTCCAAACACTGACTCTACATGGAGGGGCTTACTATTTATACAGACCTTCAAAGTGCCAGCCATTACCTTGATGGTAAAAGACCTCTCAGCATCACAAGAGTAGCTCATACCTCTCTTCTGAAAAAGCAAAAGGAATAATGGAATGTCCTGTTTGTCCTTCCAGATACTGTTCTGCCATGTCTAGATGATTTTACTTGGCAGCTCTGCTACTTGGCAGAGCTTGGAAGCTCTGTTCTGCCTCAGCAAGTTCTTCTTTGCAAGCACTCACTCACTCATGGCAGTGGTGTTACATTACTGAATGACAGAATATATTACATGCATTACAAACATAATATGTAATACAAATATACATAATAAACAAACTCTGTAATACAGAGTTACACACTGATAGCCAGAATGCTGTTAATAGTACTGGTTGTTATAGCACCTTGATGTTTCTCAAGGATGGATGGGTCCTTCATGACAACCACACTTGTGGCCTACCACCACATACATTTGATGACTAAACAAACACCTGATTTTCTCAGAAAGCTGTATTGCTCCTCTAGCCTGCGGTTCAGTATCCAGAAAAAAATACTTTTATTGCATTAGTATTCTGGCTTTCAGAAATTTTACAAACCAAAATTGCTTTTATTTCAAATAAAAAGGATAAAAATGTTTTGAAGAAAACAATAGTTCTCAGTAACTCATTTAACTCTTTTCATAGCTGCTTTTGCAGTTTTAATGCTCAAAATATACTTGCATATGGGGAAAGTTTCTGGTGTCCCATTTCATATGTTTCTTTCCATATTCAAATAGGCTTATTCTTAAAGATACTGACCAGTTCAGTAAACACTGTAGAAGCACTGTGATATTGATTTGCTCAGTGGAAGGTCTCAGTGCTCAGAGTCATCTTGGCTTATCAGTGTCTAATTCATGGTTAGTATAAATAGTACTGCTGACCTGGGCCCAGGTAACATGGATTTATTAATGGAAATATTAAGGGTCTTTGGTTCTCTCTGGGTCTGTGAACAGCAATAAAAAAATTAGGTACTTGGATAGAAATGGAATACTCCCTTTTATTCTTTGAGGATCAAGTCAGACATATTTTCAAACTAGATTTTATTTTCAGGAAAATTGAAGATTATCTTCCATAAAATAAGTTCCCTGAGGTAACTGAGGTGCAGAAATGCAATATTTCACTGTTTACATGGAGATTGATCACAAACATCTGCTCACATCACAAGGGAGTAATTGATGCCTGTGAGTGGGTTCATCCCAGTCAACATGAAGCAGTTCATCTGTCAATACCTGACTTTTCACTGAACCTCAGATTCAGGGAATCTGGGAACAGAAGATCATTCCTCTGTCCCCCATCCCACCAGCAGACTTGGCAGACAGGCCATAGCTTATTAGCTGAGCTGATCTGCTTGAGCCATCATGCCCAGCAGTTTCAGAATGCTCCTGAAAGGGTGTCCTGGTGGTGCCCCTGGAGCCAGACTTGCAGTCCAGGCAGCAGGAAAGCAGTGAGAACACATAGAGTCACTTCATAGGTCCTTTGAATTCCTTGACTTACTCAGCATAAATAATGATAACATAACATGACCCTCAGAGTTTACTTTGTCTCTAAAAGCCAAACTCTTAATTTTCAACTGTGATTTGTTCTAACAAAATGACAGGGTGAAATAACAAGCTGAGAGGTTGTTATATGTGCTGATGACCCCGAAGCTGCAAAGACATTTTCTATACCCATCAGATGTAAATTACTTTTCACTGTCCGCTTTACATCCTGCCACTTATGCTGATTGATCGTTATTTACACTACTTTCAAGCAATGACAGTGAAGCTGATTTTCTTAATGCCATTTTTTGTCTCAAACATTGTAAGAGTTTAAATTAAAGCAAGGATTTTATTTAGCATAATAGTTATAAATTATGGCTGCAAAAGCTTGGTGTCACAGATGTGAAGTGTTGGAAGTGCCATTTACAGATAAACATGTATATTTATAGATTTACAACATTTAACCCCAAATGATTCAATAAGAAATATATATAAGCTGTCCTAAAGATATAATGTGCATCACCAAACCTGCAGAGTAAATTGTCAGAAACTATAAGAGGATACCCATGTTTATGAGGTGTAATGGTACCTCCACCTGCACCACCTCTTCTTAGATAGTTTCATCCTTAATATCGCTTGTCTCCCAAGATGTGTAAATGAATTTGCAAACTGTGCTTGTGAAGCTTGTGAATAAGGAATTGGATATGTCCATGTATCCTGACCTGAGCTGTTACAGCTGCTTCCCCTGGAGTCAGTAAATGTTAAGCAGCCCTGCTGCACAGGTGGTCTGGTTCAAGCTTCTTGCTTGCCCACAGAAATCTCAGTATTCAGAAGGATCAAGTTAGATGTCATAACATACACTCCATCTGTGGCCTGCTGTCTTCATTGAGACAAACCATGTGCTTAAAACTGAGAATATGGGGCAAGGTTTTGCTGTGTTAGGGGTGCAGGGTGGAGGTTTCTGCTGGTGCAAACAGAAAACCATGATTGCTTGGGGGGCTCTCAAATGGCTGGGCAAGGTAAAGACCTGCTTGCTTTGCCCTCTTCTCTGTTACAAAATATGTGCTGCAGTTTAGTCCCTCTTTCATCTGACATCACAGAATCATTGAATGGTTTGTGTTGAAAGGGACCTTAAAGATCATCTAGTTCCAAGCCCCCTACACTAGGCAGCCCCACCTTCTGCTTGATCAGATCTACTATTAATTTTCTGAAAGAAAGTAAAAAAAATAAATCATTCTTCTTTCAGACAGATAAAAAAATATCTATTATGTATTCATATCTTGGGGGAGAATCTTATGATTAGAAATCTCTGAAATCTTTTGACTCAAAATAATGTCTAAGCATTTTAGAAGAGCTTTGTCTGGTTTAGCAACACCTCTGACTAGAAATTTTACTTAAACTGTATCTTTTATTTGCAGCAGGACTTGAAAAAAAAGAAGGAAAAGCAACAAAGGCAGCAGTGCAAGGTAAAAATAAAACAAAACACATTGGCATTATCTCTCTTAAAGCACAATGGCACAGAAAAAATAACCCCAGAGAGCTAGATGGCAGCACCCTTTAAACCTACTAGCTCACCAATATTTTTTCAGAGTTCTGCTGTGTTTGTCAGAGCAACAGGGAATTTCCACTATAAAACTGGCTTCCACAAAACTGCCACCCCAACAAAAAGCTTCAGGTAGATGGCTGCCCACTTCAGATGAAGGGCTCTGTGCTGGGACTTAGTGTCCCACTGATCCTGCAAGAGGCTTCCTGCACCTGTAGCCTGGACAGGGATCAGCCTTTGCTACTCAGTCTGGGAGAGTAACTTCCAATGAAGAAAAGGGGCAGGGGCCCTCTCAGTCACAAAAGCCCACTGCAGAGAATCTCAATAACTTTTGAGACCAGAACTTGCAGAAATTTTTCACAAAAATCTTAGTATTGGTATGGATAGGGCATGAGTGGGAATGTCTGAGTGGGAGCACCAGAAGAAAGGCTGCAAGAACCACTTGTTGATGGCACATAGTACAGAGGGACACAAAGTCTATATCCAGTGTCCCAAGCCAACAACAGCAGGAATACCAAGGAATGGCCTACACCAAGGTCAAAACAAAACTCAGGACACTGAGTGAGCACAAAGAGAGAAGGATGGAGTCCTTAAACCATCTGAAGATGTGTAATTTCCTATTATATACATTATTATTATTATTATTACTATTATTATTATTACTATTATTATTTTTATTATTATTACCTTCAGCATTACATCCTGCATATTTGCCTCTTGCACACTTGTTATAAGCAATCCATTCTTTTTTAGGTTAGTATGGTAAGAAGCAAAGTAATAAAAAGGGGGTCTTAATCCCCAAAGCTTATCAGCTCAGGTTTCCCTTATGTGATACACATCCTAGCTGCCTACTGAGGTGATGTTTGTATTTACTCATGCTCAAATTGGCAACTAGAGCCCTGTTGATGAACTTGCCAGTAACCTTTAATATAAGGTGTAAGACATTTACTGGTGTAGCTTTGGTCAGTTGAGCTTTTACCCCTTTATTTTCTACAGTTTCTCAGCTTCAGCTTTACTCAGAATTATTCAAGCCAGCACAGACACCCTGCAGCAGCTGTCAGCTGCTTGGTAGTTGTCATGGAAAATGTTATAATTAGGTGGGCCTTGGCCTAGATTTCAGTCATTCTTAGGCTGGGTTTCCACATTATTTTCCACTGCCACACAAGTGCTTCCCCAGATATCTACACTGCTTCCCCTCTTTTAGTCTGTCTCATGCAGCAATGAGGTGTGCCTGGTTGCTGTAAGATTTGTCCTTTCTGTAATATACAACAATTTGTTGGGATTTTATCTGCCAAACTTTTTAAGTGTGCCATAAAGAGCACAGACTGAGCAGCACAAAGTATAGTTTCACATGGTTGGCGTGGAGAAGTGTTTTCTAAACCACAGGTTGTGATACCCAAGGAACACAAAAGGGGGGCAAACTGTTTCCCATGACAGCAGTCAGTAGCTGCAGCAGCACTGTTTTCCCATGCCAGCACTATCTAGTCTCTACAAGTCAAAGGAATAAGAGCAACATGTAATGTCTGTCACAACTATTTCTGCAGCTACTTCCCAGTTCTGGCAGCAGCTCAGCTCCTCTGATGCACAGAAGTGAGCACAAACACTTTCATACAGCAATTCCCTCTGCTCCTCATTTCTGCACCATATATGTATGGAGCTGCTGCCAACACATTGATCACCCAAAGACAAACAAACCAAAAAACTTTCAGGATCCTTTTTGAATATTACCACATGCTTATATTACTCACAGAAGAGCACTTTGCATCAGGACGCATTTCAAAAAGTAGAGGGATTCAGTCCTGGTCAAAACTGGGACTTGAAATCTAAGAAAAAATGTATAAGGAGACTCACAGGAAAATCTGGAGTCTTGGATTTGCTCAGCAATCAGGAAATAACTTCATTGTTTCAAACAAAGGTTTAGTGATTATTTCAGCTTTGACCTCAAACCCCCACATCTGGAAACATGCTGAAACATTGTAGCAACATCTCAGTTCAATAGTCTTTTATTAGTTGTAAAGCCGAACTACAGCTAATAATTTCAATTGCTAAAAGATGAGCAAGAAGGCACTTAACTTTAACTCTTTGACCTATTTGTTTGAAAAAGTTTGTGAGCAAATATCAGGTTGGTTTCCAGGAAGTTAACCCCTGTTACTGAGAATTAATATTTAAAAGAGATGATAAAAAGGTTTTTGTTTGGTTTTTTTTTTTCTGGTAGTATCCAGTAGTGCTAATAAAGGAGACTTTCCCTCAGTTAAGGCAGATAGAGGTCATGTCAGACTAGGGGGTTTCATGTTTTTGTGCATGTATGAAAGGGAATATGTGGGAAACATGAACTTTATTCACATACTCTGTCAAGAAACAGTGGAGTCCAAGATATATTTAAGCATTTAGGGTCAACATGCATTTAAATACATTTTAATTAGTTGATTATGTTTTTAAAAATGTCTCATGTGAACATGTATTCTAATTTTTTCTTTTCTCTTTTCATTTTTATTTCCTTTCCATTCTCTTTTAACAGATAAACCAAAGATGAAACAAGGAAGTAAGTTATAGTTTTACTCATTAAAGTAACATCTTCCACAAGAGTTTGTGTAACTGTACTCTTAATAATGGAGGTGTACTACAGCTTTAATTTCTTACTGGCAGGCTTCTGAAATTAAAGGCTTTATGTCATGCTTGAAATTACTTATTTTGACTGGAGCTCTGTCTTTAGCTGTCTTCTTTCTAGACACTACTGAACTGAACATGAAACCTCTTGGGAAATTTTCATGACACATGAGCACAGAAGAGAAACTTTTTCAGTCTTCTCACTGAATTTTATTTCTGTTCACAGAATGTTCAATGATTAACTTAATATTTAAAAATTGGAAATATTTTTTTATTAGGAATGTGAATATGTCTGAATACATCCACCAAATATGTCTACAGATATCTGCAGTAAATTGTGTATTTTCTCATTTCAAAAATAAAGGACTGAATAATAATTTAGTGAGTACAAAACATGAAGATCAAAGCAGGAGAGCAGTAGTAGTTTCTGAAGCAGATGTCTGAGGTGTGGTGAGGAATAGAAGAGAGCTATATTTCAAAAAAAATTGCATTTTTGACCTTGTTCAACAGATTTCTTTCCCAAGTCTTCTCCTTTAAAAATTATTGAAGTGTCTAGTATTGCCGTTATAGAAACACAATGTAGAAGGAGAAAAATAATGAAAAATTTCTCTCTTGACTTCAGTCCCAACAGAAGAGGACTTTCAATGTCAACAGCAAATTAGGTTTTTCCACTTGATGGCTATTTCTACCATAAATAAAAAGTTATTATTTATAGATTCCTTCAATTCAGATTCCAAAGGACCTCAGTTCATCTTAGTCAGATGCAAATACTAAACTATGAACAACAAGCTTTATTGATATCATGATAAATTGCTATTGGACACAGTATGCTTTTATAATAAAGAGAAAATTTGTGAACTGTGTATCATTAAGGCAGTAAACAATTACCACTAAAACTGCCTGCTGTAGCTTATACAAGTTTTATGTCTAGCTACTAAATACAACCTCCATCTCCTAAACACAAACTCCTCCTCATCAGGAGTCTTGATTTCTTATCCTACGTGTAGAGACCAAGATGGTCTTCCAACAGTTTCATTTAATATCTTCTGGCTCTGAATTGCTGCTGAGTTTTTCAAGATAAGGAATTTTTGATTTATATGTGATGGAGAGCCTAGTATTTTTTATTTTTTCCAGAAAACACCTGTTAGTATTTCTCAGATGACATGTGTGAAACAGTTTAACCAGCAATCAGATGGTTAAATTACTTAAAATACAAGAAGCCAAAATCCAAGTCTCTGATATTTTTGAATAGACTGTTTTGGAACCATCTTATCTGCCTTCTTAATTTTGTGGCGGAAAGCTTTGGAGACCTCTCATCAATCCAGAATAATGATCTCACATTTTGTCTGAAACCAAATTCTTGTTTTCCATCTGGTGCAAACTATTTCTTATGCTTTTTCCAGAGGACTACCCTTCCTTGAGGAAGGCTGGTGTGGCCTAGCCATCTTCTCTACCTGTCTGTAGGCAGAATGAAAACAGCTCTTCACCTACCTATTTGTCACTGCTATGTTGCTCACCCACTTTGATCAGCATCTGTCCTTTAAAAAAGAATAGATCTAATCAGAAAACTCCTGTCCTTGCTCAGCAAGAATGGGCAATCCCAGGTGAGGGAAGTAGGCCACAGTCAGCTCCAATGCGTCAAACTTGGCAAAGCATCAGTTTTTACCTTTCTGGTTAAGAACACTGAAAAACTTCCCTTTGTCTCATACTAAGTTGGAGTTTGCAAATTTTATAATTAAATCTACGATAGTTAATCTACAAAACACATTTTATGTACTGAACTTTTTGAATGATATCCAGTGAATTTTGTACAAATCTTCCAATAACTCAATTTTTATCTGTGTCTTTCAATACATAGTTTTTGTCTCTTGCACTATCTATATGCTTCATTCTCCCCTCTGGTTAAATCTCATTGTTTCACTCAGCTGTGGTTTCTGCTTTTCACTTTATTGGTGTGACCGATTCTTTTACAGATCCTGGAAAAGAGAAAGAATTAAAATCTCCAGCTGCCACAAAAGATAAAGGTAACATAGCAGGACGAATTTGTATATAGCTGTAAGATCTATATGCATTAAAAAAAAAACCAAAACAGCTTGAAATGCACTGCCATGTCATTTTTTAAGGTATGATTTAGTTAGGAATTTATAACCATAATACTATTTTGGTAAATTTATTATGAAACTTAATTGGCATTACCTGAATTAGAAGTGCAAAGAGAGCACTGTTACACTAGTTATGAAAATTTGGAGGACGAAACTCAGAATTTAGGAACTCTTGTTAGCATTTATTATGAGCTGCAAAGTGAAATAAGTTTTGAGTGATCTTTGTTCTTTCATCAAGTTTAAGAAAATTTATGGTTTCACTTTGTGAGCATGCTAAGACTGATGAAAATTAGTTTTGTGCTACACATTGAATTGGTACCTCGTGTCAGTTAGAAACCACAAATGATTCAATCAATCATTATTCTAGAGGTATTAGATGTTAATTTTTAACATTCTAGCTTGAAGATTAATAAATTATTTTTACAGAACATGCTAAAGAAAAGGGAGAAAAGAATCCTACATCTTTAAAAGAAAAAGGTAAGAATACATAATAAAATATAGGACTTGCTAAGCCCACACAAAATAGAATGAAGATGGTAATTTTTTAAACAATCATTATCAGTCTTTCCCATTATAAATCTTAACCAATCAAAATGTAATTAGTTAAAAATTTATACAGGATCAATAGCATTAAATAGTCAGGGAGAGGGGAATATAAATAGAATATATCAAGAAAATTAAAATTCAGAATTCTCAAAATTAATTAAATCAATATAATAAACCACTCTGTATAATAGTCAAGAGCCTTGCAAAGAAGGTCTGAACAATGCAAAGTCTTTAATAGGGGCCAGTTAAGAAGTTCTGACCTGAATACTTTCACAAATGTGTGAACATAATAAGAAGAAAGTAAGGTTTATGAGCACATGAGTGGGAAATATGCTTTCTGTACTCCATAAAAGTTATAGCTAAAACCCCAGAGCTTCATCTAGTCAACCACCTGCAACATGAGAGGTAATCTGAATCTTTCTTCTATTCCTTATCTTTTTTTTTTATTTTTTGGCAACTTGATTAGAATAGATAGTTAATTCAATTAAATTTCCTTTCATCAATTGTTTTATTGGGTGCTTTTTACACAGCTTATTTCTTCCCTCCTTTCTAGAAATAACTTTATTTGTAATAAGTTACTTATGGATAAGTCTTATTTGACATCTTCAGAATAAAGAAATCTACCATATGTATAGTCAAATGAATATTTATTTTAAGCTATAGTCTATAACTTCTATAAGTCTATAGCTATATATAAATAGATATGGTCTGCGATATCTAGACTTTAGTCTATAAATATTTCAAGTTACAGTCATTCTATGCAATTTCAAAGAAAGGACTGAATTAAGAAGTCAATTCAAGCAGTATTGAAAGATGACAAAAAAACCTTTAAAACAAAGGAAGAATAATTTATTGCTAGATATATTTTCAAAATCCTAGAAGCTATGTTCATTCACTCACTTTTTTATTCAAAAATTTGTATTATGGAAATCTTCTAATTCTATGGTGCATATATTGTTCTTCTGTGTGTGTTCCATTCCTAATGTACACATGCCCTATTTACATGAGCCTGGATACCTGGACCAGAGCTGTATATCCAAACTCTACGGAGTCCTGTGGACCTCTCCACAGACTGCCTATAATGTGTCTTCCTCATGGTGTTATGCTGGAAAATTAGAAGCAGCACTTGAGTGACAACTTTTCCCCCTCTTTCCCTGCATGGAATACGTGTATTCAGCCTGCTGCTCTTTTGAAAAGATTACAGGGAGGCAGGGAGAAGAGAAAAAAGAGAGAAGACCCAAATTTTTTTCTCTTTGATAAGAGTTTCTTTAGAGCAAATGAACAGTGTTTTTCCAACCCTGTAAAAGTTTTCGTAGTGTGTCCTTTGTTGAGAGTGACCACGGCACTGTTTATTGTCTCCTGCACTCATGTTTAATATGTCAACAACTTCAATTACTAAGTTATTAGTAATTAGTAATCACAGGTCCTTCTAACATGGCAAAGGACCCACTCAACCTTCAGAAAAGAGTAGGCAGGAATTTATTTTAAATGTAAATACAGTTGAAATTTGCTGCTGAATCTATCCATAAAGACATCACAGGCTCCTGAGCAGCAGCACCGATGTCCAGCCCAGCTGAGCCTGTCCCCCAGATCCTGAGAGCTCTTGCTGATGCAGTGCTGATGCACTCTTTCCCATAATAGGCATCAAACTGGCATGGTTCTGTGCCTGTGCCTAAAAATGAGGGTGCTGATTAGTGAGCTGAAGAGCTCAGTTGAAAATATATTGGCGTCAAAGACTATAGGGACAACTTATAAAGATGTGGGGAGAAACTTCTAGAAATCTTGGTGCCTTTCTTAGCTGTGTATTATTGCATTATGGATTACTCTGCTGCAAAAACACATATTTAGTACTATTTGTCCCCCATTTCAGTCATCATAGCCACCCAAATTTTAGTTCATAAATTAATCAAAGCCATTTGCATGCCATTCCTTTCCCCTCTCCATCATGAACCAAACCTCATGCATGGGCCCTGTAAAGGTTATTGACCAAGTCACTGGGAAATTCACACTCTTCGCAACTTGGTGTTTCACAATTTTTTTCTTAAAGTGGATCTTTCTGGAAAATTCATATATATCAAAGACCACATGAAAGTAAGGATTTTTAAGACTGCATATACTTCCTAATTCTGTGTCTTGGGAGTTTGTTACTATTCATGTAAACTAAATAAAGGAACACTTCTAGGTGAAGTGTTAAATACTTGTGGTAATTAATGTGTGTCTGGCACCTTATGCAATAATGGAGGTGTCATCACACCTCATTCCCTTTGAAGGATGAGGTGTTTGAATGAACAAGGAGGATATCCAGAAAACCTTATCCTAAAGCAGGTTATTTTTTCATAAATTTAAGCACAGTGGTTTTATTTAAAGCAGAAAGAGGAAAAATAAATCCCTGCATTCAGACTTGTTGCTGGGATACTCTAAAGATCATAGTCCAACCAAGTTACTTTATTTTTTTATGAGGTGAATAAAATGTCTTCAGTCTTGGAGCCTAATTTTAAGAGTAATTAAAGAGAACATTTATATAATATATAAATAATATATTTTCCACTTAGTAATACAGGACATCTCAAGACTGAATTTATAACTGGGTTTTCAGTTCTCCCTGCAGTCAAGAAGAGTAAAGACGCCCATTTGTACTACCAAATATGAAAACTGATTTTCTTTTGACATAAGCATATTCAAATAATTTGAAACCAATGAAACTCAAAGGTATAATTTGCCACATGGTTTTTAGGTAGGTATCTTACCCAGCTAACCAGAGTAGATGTTCATTCATCCAGAGGGTATAACAGTGGCACTAAAAGATTGTAATATTTCATATATAATTCCTCATTGAATTTTTTTCAGATTGCATTTTGCTGAGTTATTGAATTGACAGCATTTGTCCTGCATAGATAACATAGATTCATTCTCATCCTGTGTTCCATGATTTATTTTCCAAATAAATGCTCTTTTTACTTCTTCTTTGCTTTTGACATGTCTTGGGATGTCTTTGAATATTTTCTTACGTCAGCTATGTGTGGATAATAAACGTATTTATTTTTATGCACAGATTGACAGGGGAAATAAGTCAGTAGTGTGTATTTCTTTCTCGCCATATACATTGTAGTATACTGTCATTAAAGAAACAAATGAGCTGATTTGCACTTGTTATGTAATACTTGTGCTTCCTTTAAAGCAAAAGTAACATGAAATAATACCTTGTCTGTGGCATTTTTTATCTTAATTTGTAGCATACTTTTTTCTTTCCCTTAAAAATGGAGTTATATTGTGAGCAGTAGCAGTTCACATTTCTGTCTATTTCCATTTATTTGTTATTGTCATTTGCATGAGAACTGTATCTTTATCCTGAGGATATTACACACTGCTGCTGCTTCATCATTCCATACCATCTTCCTAACCTGACCCAGCTTCACCCCTGGAGTAGAACGCAGGAGGAAAGCATTATGGTGAAAGCTGGCTATAAGCCAGTTTTATGTTTTTCTCCTTCTGGGACAAGCAATAAAGTGGTCAGTTGAGAGAAGTTTGAAAAGTCCTCAGTGAGTAGCTGTTTAAACTTCTGAAAAAGAAAACCTTCTCCCTGGAAGAAAAGCAGAACTGGTGATCTCAGTATTCTTGGCTCAGCGGGTGGGGAACTTGGTGCACCACATAATGTGTCCTGCACTGAGAGTTGCATCCAAAAGTTGTAAGAGTCACAAGTGCTGAACCTTCTTTAGGAGCTACATGTTATTGAAAATCTGAGGGAGATCTGCTACATGGATGGCAAAAAACCACCATGGACATATGGCACAAAACACACAAGGCCAAAGATTTGGCTGTGGCTGCAAGAATGGTTGCTGATCACTGAGATCACCAGCGTGCCCAAAGTGAAGTGCTCAAGTGGGGCACCTGTTGCCTCAAGTCTTTCAATATAGTCAGCATAGAGGCTACTTCCAAGGGTTTCAGGCTGACACTGGAAGTTTTCTCTCAGTCCCCTGAAGAAGAGTCCACCTGCTGCTGTGAAGATCAGGCTCCTAATTTCATGTCTCCCTGTGCAGCATGGTTTCTCCAACAGCTCCAGCCACCCCGGAAATGAATTTTTTCGGTTACAATTCACACTAAATCCAGATGGATAAGTGGGATCACTTCCTGGTACCATGGCAGCCACAAGGATGTTCAGAGTTAAAATTATTTTGTAAAAGATCTTCTTTTAGCTTTTTCTGGTTTACTGAAGATTTGGTTTACTTTCATTTGGAATAAATGGCATGGTGTTTCTAGATGTTTAGGTGTTATATCCTGTCAGATGGAATGCAGCTGGCTCTATTTAGCATTCTGCAGGCTGTGATATTCTCTCACTCAAACCAAATTCAAGCCTATCAAATTATTTTCTTACTTTGGAAAAAACTATTTTCTCCTCATTTCCCTCATAAATACACTTAAGATGTCAAGAGACTGTTGCTTGAAAGAAATATTTAAACATTAGTTGTTTACACAACAGTGTATGCTTTTCCTGTGCTTGCTGACCCCGAATGCATATTCCCTGAAGGACTGAGGTAAAAGATAGAGAAAGCAGAAACTGTCTTCATGAAGCTTTGGATAAGAACCAAAGAATTCCTAATCCTGTGTCATTGCTTGCATTTTCCTCTTCTGTCTAATTTCTCTCTTCTATGTGTTCTCTACAGACAGTAACCAAAAGCAATTTCTATTCTTGCTTTTGCCACTTACACTATTGCACCTTAAAAATATGAGACAATCTCTAGGGAGAATGTAAAGAGAGGTCAGGCTTGCATCTATTCATGTTCACAATTTTAATCTTAGTTTTTAAATATTTTTTTGAGTCTTCTGTTACATACAGAAGGGCACTCCTATCTTCAAAGTCTCAGAAACATAATTATCTCCCTACAGATTCCCTGAAAGGGAAAAATCCCAAGA